TGAAACCAGGGCTGTGATGAGCAAGCTTTTAAGGCACGTGCTGAGCCCTAAGAAGTAGTTAAGTCAACCTGAACACTTCGTTTTGCGTTTGCGCGAAAGGGCTGTGCAGACCTGTGCTAAGGGTTATATAGTTTTACAAGCGCAGCCACGGGTACGTTTGCCTCAGCGCAGCCACGGGTATGGTAGCGCCCGCGATAGGCCCAGCCTGCCTCAGCACAGCCACAGGTACGTTTGCCTCAGCGCAGCCACGGGTATGGTGGCGCCCACGATCGGCCCAGCCTGCGTCAGCAGCCACGTTTGCCTAAGCACAGCCACGAGTATGGTAGCTCCCACGATAGGCCCAGCACCCTCACAAAAACCTGAGCTCCTTTGCTCCTTCTTTTCTGGCCAACGCTCCTGCCCAATTGGTTGACGGTCCTGATGCCTGGTTGGCTGGCCGGCTGGCTGCCAAATCAATCTAGACCTGACTCTAAATGATCATGGCCGCCACTGCCGCCACCCCTCATAAAACCTCTGCCCCTTTGGAGGTTTGGATCATTTGGAGGCTTGAATCACACTGAAACCCCTTTTTTTGTGAACAATTTTATATTGATTGTTGATATGATTCGAATATTAGATTTGGATGGAGACGGAGGATAACGAGCCTTCGCCCGGGCTTTACTCGGGCGCCACCCCTAGCGCACGCTTGCGCCAACTCAAGCCTAGCCTTGGTAGGCTAGCCTGAGCCCGCGGAGTTCAGTTCTTTCCTAGTCTCCCAAAGCCTGAACTCTGAGTTCAGCCCAGAAGCCTCTGGCTCTTGCACATTTCACAGGGGGGTAGAACGAAAGGAGACCCCGGGCTTGAAGCCCAGAGCCTTTCAAGCCCTCCATTGCGCAACACTCAGAGCAACCCAAAGGAAAAAGGAGAAGTGCTTTCTGCTTTCTTGTAGTGGTAAGTTTTGAGGTTAGGAGCAGTGCAAGCCCACATAACCAAACAAGCAAGCAAGCAAACAAATCGCTGATAGCAGCAGTAGTAGTAGTAGTAGTAGTAGTCGTAGTAGTAGTAGTAGTAGATGATTTAGATTGCAAGACCAGCATATGTTGTAAATTAAAGCGTGTAAAACTTTCCAAGATCAGCAGACGCTGTCACTTACAGCGTTTGACAGACACTATAATTTACACCGTTTGAAGCGTTCCAAAACAACTATAATTTACAGCTTTTGAAGCGTTCCAAGTCTAGCGAATGCTGTAATTTACAGCGTTTGAGCGTTCCAAGTCTAGCAAATGTTGTAATTTGCATCATTTGAAGCGTTCCAAGACCCGTAAATGGTGTAATTTGCAGCATTTAAAGCGTTCCAAGACCCGTCAGTGGTGTAATTTGCAGCGTTTGACGCATTCCAATTTGGTCTTTGGTCCCGTGGTCGGGTTGTTCCCATCACCAGGTCATCACGCACTTGCGAAGCGGGCATAGGCATCAAACAACATCTGTTAAGCGTCAGAAACTTAAACTTTAACATGCGTCAACAGTTTGCTAAGTGAGCTGCGAAGAGCGAGTGTAAACGACCGTTCCCAGGACCCAGCAGTTCCGGTGCTCTGGTCCTATGGTCCTCTGGTCATGTGGTCCTCTGGAGCTCTGGTCCTCTGCTCCTCCGGTCTTGTGGTCCTCTGGTCCTGTCAACTTGTAGTTCGCTGATGCTATGGTTCCAGATCTTGCATCACCTAGAAATCTCAGAATGTCGAAATGCCCAATTTCTTGGGTATACAAGATGGTGCAAGATTTCCTCCATCCCCTCTGGTCCTGGCAGCATTTGTGGGTCATCTTTTAGACCCTCGGATCCTGGAGTTTGAAACATGTCAACAGTCGCAAGGATCGTGGGGTCGGGGTCGCGATCCTCGCAATTGTCGTCGCTGTTACCCTTGGAGCCTCTTGGGCAATCCATGCTTCTAGAAAAAAGACGCATCATGCCATCACCATGTTTGCAGTGAGGGAGGGCTATGCGGATCATCTTGTTTGCAAATGAGGGGGGCTGCACCCCCCCAAACCCCCCTTGTTTTAAAGCCATCCATGCTTCCAATAAACAGGAAGCATCATGTCATCACCATGTTTGCAGGGAGGGAATGTTGTGCGGATGATTATGTTTGGAAATGGGGGGGGTTGCGCCCCCCCCCAACCCCCCCGCTGTTTTAAAGCCATCCATGTCTGCAATTAAAAGGAAGCATCATGTCATCACCATGTTTGCAATGAGGGAAAGTTGTGCAAAACATTTTTGGCAAATGGGGAGCTGCGCCTCCCCATCTCCCCGCTGTTTTAACATGTCATCACCAGGTTTGCAGTGAGGGAAGGTTGTGCGGCTTACGTTGTTCGCACCTGATATTTTCAGAGTATGTCGTTCTCCAAGTTCTCAGTGTGAACAAAGAATGGATTTTAAGAATAGCTGCTATAGACTCCTCGTTGATATCATGATTCCTTTTGAATTCCATATTTCCGTATCAACCAGCAACACCAAGCCTGCACCTAAGTCGTACTTGTACCCCCAATTCCAAATGCCCAGTCTTTTCCCACTAGTTCAAGGAGTGGAACATTGCAAGACCAGCTTATGTTGTAAATTAAAGCATGCAAAACTCTCCAAGATCAGCAGACGCTGTCAATTACAGCATTTGAAGCATCCCAAGACCAGCAGACACTATAATTTACACCGTTTGAAGCGTTCCAAAACAACTATAATTTACAGCTTTTGGAGCGTTCCAAGTCTAGCGAATGCTGGTATTTGCAGCGTTTGAGCGTTCCAAGTCTAGCAAATGTTGTAATTTGCATCATTTGAAGCGTTCCAAGTTCCAAATCTAGCAAATGCTGTAATTTACAGCTTTTGGAGCGTTCCAAGTCTAGCGAATGCTGGTATTTGCAGCGTTTGAGCGTTCCAAGTCCAGCAACTGTTGTAATTTGCATCATTTGAAGCGTT